AGCCTGGAAGCCTCGTCCCTGGCCAAGGGGGGATGGGTCGGACCTGGCCCTTCGCTGCCTCCTGCTGGCCCACGTCCCCCTCCAGGCTGCGGTTTGCGGCCAACTCCGTTACCTTTCAACTTTAAGGCATTTTCTACATGTTTTCTAAGCAAAAAGCAATAAAAATTGAGGTAATTCTGTAGTAGTTCACACTGGCAGGTGAGGCACAGCCACATTTCTCTCTCTCTCTCTCTCTCTGTGTCTCTCTCTCAACCCTATGGGCCGGGTCGTGTGCGCACGGGGAGAAAGGCCATTGGGGCGAATGGACAGAGAATGGAAGCGGGCTGTGTCCCCAAGTCCCCTGGGAGGGACGCGTCCCTCAGCCTCCTCCACTGGATCCCGACCCCGAGAGGACGGGCTGGGCCGGGGCTGTGCGTGGGACGCAGAGGCCAGACAGAAGCAGGCCACGGTTTCACGAGGCAGGACACACTTAGCACAGGGTTAGCAGCAGCGGCAGCGGCAGCCAGGAAGCCCCCGACGGGCGGACACTTGGGGCGGCTCCCAGCCTGGCAACAAAAACCACGCACCCAAGAGACCCCCGGGCCCACCTCCAGGGGGGCGGGCTGGCAGGGCTGGCAGGGCAGGGCAGGGCAGGGCGGGCCCCTGCGCTTGAGACCTGCAGCCTCAGCCTGGAGGGACATGGCCCACGGGCGGTCCCGTGGCAAAGTGGTCACACTGGCACTGCGGCCGCCGGCCCTCTGGCACCCGACAGATCTTTGCCCTTCACAAGCAGTCACCAACCAGGCCCGGCCCGCGCTCAAGAGGCCGGAGCCCCCGGCCACGCCTCAGCCAGGCTGGCCCGCACGCAGGTGGCGTGGGCTCGGAGGAGATGCCCAGCTCAGAGGCCCAGGAGAAAACAGGTCGCCCTGCAGCGCTCGGGAGAGTCAAGGGAGCTTTCCATAGAGAGAGAGCAGGGGGGCCCATGGCAAGCTCCACAGGGCACAGGGCATGCACTGCAGGGCACAGGCAGAGTTATAAGCGGGGCGGTTACTTGACGGGGCCTTCTGGATGGGCGCGTCGGGGTCTGGGCGCGACAGCCACTGGACCACGTAGCTCTTCTTGGAGGGATCCGAGACGTTCCCTAGAGGAGGAGAGAGGGCTGGGCTGCCGTGGCCGGGCTGGCCACGCTCCGCAGACGCTCCGCAGCGCCCCGCCTCCTGGGGCGGGGGCCGCCAGGCCCT